GCGAGCATTGAACGTCCGCTAATTTATTCCGCGGTTCTTTTTGCGTCCCCTCTTATCTGCCGTTTAACATTCAAACGAGCTGATGAGCTTCGAAAGACACTGCGTTATCGTGCAATGCTCGCGTTATGATCTTATGAAAATTTCACGCCTCCTTGCCCGAGTAAATTGGGATTCGGCGCTATTTTGAAGGTGATGCGCGCTCCTAGTTTCGCTGATATTTGATTTGGAATGATTTTTGACAAATGCAAAAATTTGATTTTAGAGATATTTTTTGCAAATAAGATCTACGAGGAATCGAAAGAGCAATTAATGCAATAATATGTAGAAAGTTGGAAGAAAATTGGCCAAATTTTTGAAATTTATTTTTCACAGATTTGATTTTCAAGAAATCATTAATTAAAAGTGATTTAATAAAAAGAGACGTAAAATCCTGTTATAAATCCTTATAGCTTAATTGACTTATATAATCAATAAAAATCTCTAATTCTAATTCATGATATTTAAATGGAAATTTTTAAAGATTCTTAAAGATAGTCCATCACTATTTAGTATTGAAACAATTTATGAGAAAATAGGGAAATAAAGAATAGAAAAATTATCCTAAAAGACCTAATCACCATAGAGAAAACAATAAATGTTTTCTAAAAGATGTGACAATCTAATAGAAAAATATTGAATGTAAAACTCAAAATATTCTAAAAAATCCAATCCAAAATATCCAAGAATTACATACATTAAAAGCGATCATCTATTACTATACTTATAGAAAATATTTACGATCAAAATTTTTAATTTAAAATAAAATTGAAAAATGTCTCGAATCTATCATTTCACTCTCACACAACAATACTTACATCGTTCAAAAATAATTGACCACAATCTCCATTAAATCTGTACTACGCAACAGATTTATCCCCCAGTGAAATTTCGTCGAGCAATGCCATATCGTGATTTCCCATTAAAACGGAAACTTTTAAACTGCTAAACAGATGAAGCAGGATATTTGCGGGATTCTGCGGAACTATTTGATTAAAACTCTGGAAAGTAGGAGACATCTCTTCGTCGAAGCATTGTTTATGGAACAATGGATAGATTTGGCGTCTGGTCTGGCAACCAGATTCACACCATCCTCTTGCACCACTTTCCACACCGCCAACAGATTTCCTTTCTTTCATCGACCTTCACAGGCCCCCATATTTCCTCCCGAATGATAAGAGTTTCGAGTCACGCGAGATAAGCTCGTACAATCGAGGACGCAGTTTCTTTTGTCGGCGATTAGGGTGTATTGTAGCGTTGTTGCCGGGGAAGTGTTGTTAATAAGTTTTATCTATTTGATAAGGAAATAATAGGGTGGAAAACGGTAATAACGAGACTTTATTACAAGACGCGACTACCGGTATCAAATTTAGATTGAATTAGCGCACTGTAGTGTACAGTAATTATGAAAAAAAAAATTTGAAATTATGCGTAACTCGTAATAACTTCGGTTACATTGATTTTAATCAATTGAAAAAAATGTGTTAGTAAAAAGGAGTTTGCTTATTTTATTCGATTATTATAGGTTTGTTTCACTTGTTCGACTTGCCTGAGCATTGCTAGCTTTATCCACTTGACCACGATTGATTTATTCTATGTGTCTGATTCATTTTATTCATTTATGATTGGATTTTTCTATAACTTTAATATTGTATATTTTATTTAATTTATTTGTTTAATTTATTTACTTATCTGTTTGACTATTACTCGAGCCTAGCTTATTCCACTTGACTAATAGTGATTGATCTATTCCATTATCCAACTATTTTTAGCCCAGTTTATTTATCTGTCTAATATAATCCATCTTATCTCGCATCATCGATGTATCTAAGATCCTTGACCTGATCCTTGGTGGAATTAGATTTCCCTTTTCCATCTACAACGATCAATAGAAAATGTATAAATAGTTTACGACCCTCGACTCTGAGTCGATGAAGCAATATCACAAAATGGCGAGGAGAGGAATAATAAAGGAAGTTGAAAAAAACAAAAAAAAAAAAAAGAAAAAAGAAAACGACTGTTGAGAGAAAAAAAAAAACCTATATCTCTGGGGGAATAACGTAAAATGTAATGAAACGCAGCCTGTTCGCGTAAATATGCAAGCATAACGTTCAAAGGAACGTAAAAGCGGACGACGATTGCAGACGCGTTCCAATAAGAGGGTGATAATAAAACGGTGTACCTGCAGATCGCTATTTTTATACGCGAAATTATCGTTCCCAGAATTCTTGGCGAAACAGAGGGCAAGGGGGATTGTAAATAGGTTCCGCAGGTCGTTTTAAACTGGTCGTGAGTAAATGTTGGGGAGCGATGGAAAACCAATTGAACGTTTTTCACGGTAAAAGGTAAAAGCGCATTGTATCAGGAGGAAAGAATTGTTGCTACAATTGGCGAAGAACAGTAACGGGAAGGTAATGGGATGGTATAAGAACGTGGAATTCCTCGAATCGAATAATACCCTTCAATGTATCACGATCATTGCTACGGCTCATGCATCTTCAGATAAATTGTTTGCTCTCCCTCCTTTCATTTTAATCGCCTTTCCAGGGATATAATTTGCTTCGTTATTTAACCTGATCGCGTTTACAAGTGTAATTTTATAATTTTCCTTTCTAAAACAGAAAATACATGCAACGCGCTTTTATCGTGAAAAATTTTAAACTAGACTGTGGATGACCTTTATAGAAAACTTGGCGCACATAAATTACCTAAGGATTAAACGAACATTGTAAACCACGTTAAATTTAACAAATAAGTTAATCAACCCTATTAAAGCTAAAGCGAAGCTTGATAATGTAGTGTCCCGCAATTTCCTATAATTACATCATACAATATAACAGTATCTCTCCAATTCTATATTTCGATTGAATTGCTTGAATACACGTATGTGTTATTAATCAAAATTAGGTATTATCTAATAATAATATGTTCAATTTCACTTAACTGCATTATCAGTGAAACGAGCGGATGTATATCTAGAACATGATAATTCTGTAACATTACAACATTCCATATTCGTAAAATTATCCGATACTTTCCTTTTTAATATTATTTATGATAGAAACATCCATTAATCTACATTATTTTCATAATGTAGAAAAAAAAAATTATCCAATTCGTGAAATCGTATCGAAAAATATATCGTTATCCATTGGAATTTTATTGTCTTGGCGAACTTTTCGTTTCGATATTTATTAGAGTGGAGCGAAACCGGAAACGGGACTATTTACGTACATCGTGCGCGGGGTCTCGTTTTGGCTCACGTGCATAATTCGTTGGAACGGATGACCGAGCACAGCCGCAAAATACGGTAAAAGTTACAGGAAAATGTGGAACGCGGAAGTTTTGCAGGTTTGTGCGACTGGCCGGAATGATAAATCGTTTAACGTAATTTAATTATATGCCCGGTGTATAGCGGAAGCGGTGAATATAGGATGGAATAAATAATTACTTTCTACGACAGATATTAATGAGCCGTGGTTATAGATGCATTAGAGAATCAAACTTCGAATCTTGAATGGACGATATTCATATTGTTATAGGAGTAATACTCGCTCGTAAAAAGTTGAGTGGTTCAAGTGGTTTGAAATGGAATTTCGTTGTAATAACGAATGGTAATCAGTCTGAAAAAAAGAAAAAAAACAATTAAAAAGACGTTTGGGAATATTTTTAAAAGATTAAAGATAATGAAAAAAATTACCAGATAACATTAAATTTTTTTACCTTAAAAATGAAATATTCTTACAATACTTTACCCATTTATTTTTTAATAGTATATATTTATTAAAATCGTATATCCTAATGAGAAACTTTTCTCAACATCAAGCCGAATTAAAAATATTTTAAAAAGAGCAAGAGCGTTCCAAGTTCATCTTAAGTAGATGGAGGTTTCGCGATGCCTTCTGCACTTATAAATTCGGTACTGTCAAAGTAGGTCGTCTCCTCTGAACTTTTAGCCGAACTTTTCAACCTGGAAACTTCGATTTCTCCACAAATAGTGTTACGTCCGAATTTTCACCGATTCGACTTCACCGAAGAAACTTACCCATCCAGAATTGCACGATTTAATAAAAAATTAACTCTAAAAAAAAAAGCATTTATTATATATATTAGCAAGTATTTCCAAAATTCTATCCAACGAAGAAAAAATTAATTTGTAATAAACCATTTATTTAAACCATATAGATATTCTATATTTCGTCCATATAATAAATATTTAGTAAATATCTTTTGTTTGGAAAAACATAATTTTTTTTTTATAGAAAATAATGAATGTCATTATTTATTATACAGTTTCTATTATAAATTGATTGAAATGTTACGTATCGAAATTATTCGAGCGACGTATATCGATTTTTAAAGTCGATAGAATAATTATGAGCTGTGGTGTATATTAATAGCTCGAAAGTGACAGAAACATTGAGGTCGCGGTTTTAAAAGTTGCTTATTGGGTCGTGGTATATTTGTGAGATGCAGCAATTTAAAATTTCGTACTCATCTGCCAATTTTTCTAAAAAAAAAAGCATACGTGAGAAACATTTATTTTTATTAAAACGAATGAAAATTACGATTATTAAACGAATTATAATATATTTCTCGTACGAAAGAAAAATGTAAATTTCTGCAAAGCAGAAAATAAAAAGTATTTAATTATTTATAAATGTATAATTTATATGTATTTCTTTTTATTAAAAATTAATTTTTAATAAAAAAAAATTTAGAAAAATATCATCGATATCACTTAATATAAAATTATAAATCCAAATAATCCCCAATAAATCCCCGAGTATCGATACGTTAATAATTTCAAGCATTTTCCTTTCTACGATAAATAAATAGATACTTAAATATTGACACATTAATCAAAATCAATTGAATCTATCTTCCCTTTTAAAACATGAATTAATTGTATGCGATTTATACACTCGAAACTCTAATGAAATATCGGTCTGTTTGTATTATAGTGAATGTCGTGAATGGCGAGGTGTTGCACATCGTGAAGATAAGTCGATTGCACATGGGAGCATACTTGTGCATCGCTTCGAACGACGTTCCACCACGAGTTAGCCAACGCATATCTCTTCGCGTGCAATGTGAGTATACTGAAATATTCCCTCATATATTCCTCAAATAGTGAAGGAGCGGCGTGTGTGTTTATTGGACTGCTTTATATGCATGTTAATCCTAAACTGCCCCGTTAAATTTTGTGAACGTGTTATATTAACTTCAACCATGCGTAAACGCTTCCCTTTTCGAAACTTTTCAAAAATTGCGTTCGTGGAAAAATATTTGAAGTTGCTTGAATATTTATATCGTCTACCGCTCGCGTTTCCCGCGATTTCAAATATATTTTTGAATAGAAAATTTTCGAAACTGTTCGTGTCAAATTATTTCTCATTTTTAATACGTAATATCATTTTTATTATCGTGTAAAATTTGCTCGCATCGTACAATTGAAAAGAGAGAATGAAATTTATAGTGGAATTTATATTGAAATTTTTTTCAATGGGATAAAACGATTTGTATCTCGTTAGCATACATTATAATGACTTTTATTTTAAAATAAATTCATTTTAAATAAAATTATACTTCTTTTCTGATAGAATATAATAATAGAGCAACGTATCATTGTATCATTCTTGTCAATAACAAACAAAATTGGAAATCTTGGCTTGGAGAATCATCCCTAAAAATGTTTGAACAATTAGTTGATATATAATATATAATATTCTATTTAAGAAACAAACTAATATAAATGTATATAAGAATTATAGAACAATTATTTCATCCATATAAATTGTTTATTTGTCCAAAACGTCAAATTTCAGAATAAATAATTTTCCAAAAAAATTGGAAAATTCGATCCAAAGAAAAACTTAATTACAACGATGATACCTTTGAATAGATAAATAATTTTGAACGTAATGCACAATATCTCGATAAAGAATAATTGTTCTATCCTACGCGATGGATTAGGTTGGTTTTCAACGTCTCATTTAGCCAACGATTTACGGCCACCACTTGACCCAGATATGCTCGATGTACCTAGATCCGTTCATCCCCCTCACGGCCGTCACGTTCATCCAGTTTTGGGGTGCGAAACGCGTTTCCGCCCTGTCTTTTCCGACACATTAGCCTCCGTTCTACCGCATGGATGGACACGAGCGTTTAATAATCGGCCGATGAAACGTGAATTACCGTCTTCAAATGGAAATTTTTCATCGAGAGTCACGTTTAAATATTTTCCGTTGTCATTTTTTTCTGCGAAGGAATAATTGGATTTGAGATTTTAATCATTTCATGTCTCATACGAGAAATATTTTAAGTAATTGTTAAATATTTAATATTATATTTTTATATACTTGTCACGTATACTTTCAAAAGTTTCCATATATTATTATAATTGGCAGAACAGATCTTTTAAAAAATTTCTGTACAATCATCTGTAACATTATCATATCGTTTAACTTATTTAATAGTGAAAACTTACAGTTTTGAACGTAGCTCACGTATCCAATCAATATCATCGATGAGTAAAATTTTTTTTCCAAATTTTTCGAGTCAGATAGATGATAATCATTCGAAACTCCTTCCCAATATCGCGATCGGCTAATGGTTGTCCCAATATCAACTCGATAATTCAACAAAAACGTCAGGGGAAGAATATTGAGTGGACGAAGGACGCCATCTAATAAGAGTGATATCGTCTCGAATATACATGGTGGTAGTAAATTGTGATTTACGTTGCTTCGTAAAAGATGAAACTATGACACGATATTGCGGCCATGGAATATATCTATATTGATCTTGGAGAAGCAAACATCGTATAATAATCGAAAATTCGAGAGGAATTTCACATTTCATGGAACCATGTTCAAGTTTTTTGAGTGAAACTTTATATAGAACAATGTTAGAAAAATGAAAAAAATTAAAGTATATGAAGATGGATGATTATGATTGATTTATTTCATTCGTTTTATTATGATTAACTTACGTTATTTAGCTATTATTAATTCATTTGGGTCATGGATTGATTGATCCACTTCTTTTTTTTTTCTTGATCATAATTATTCAAGTATATCTCGTGCTTAGTCATGTATGCTTAAATATGACATGCTGGCCTATTTTTATTTGTCTGGCTGATTGACATATTCCATTTATTTGATTAGACCTATCTCGTTTCGCTTGATTGATCATGAATGATCTATTTCATTTGTCTAACTATTATTGATTTTACCTCTCTAACAATTGCTAGTCTATTCTATTTGTCTAAATTAACACGCAATTAATGTATTACTTTTATAATAGATTTGAAAAAATATGAAAAAGTTGATTTCATTATATTTATATTTTATTTTATTACTTTTTAAATATTTTGTACGATTATTTCTTATTACAATTTATGGAATTGATCATTAGCTTCTTAATTATATTTGGAAAATATAACTATTTGCTTAATCAATGTTGATGTGACAAACATATCGAAAAGTTTTAACGAAATTCGTTATAAGTTAGTGGATTTTCTAGGATTTACAGAATTGCAAACAGAGAGTTCTGATGCACTAGATTATGCAGTTCGAATAGTTCTAAATTTGGGGAGTACAAAGCGTGGAAAGTTTCGTCGCTAAAGTTCAAAGCTCACCTAATCCAAAAAATTGATCCAAGCTATTTCAAATATCCGCCTTTTCGATTACGTAATTTCCTTATTATCTGGATAAGTAATATGTATTTTCATTCGTTTTATCAATGAAATTTTGATTCTTGAGCAATATTTTATGAAAAGAATATAAATAGGATATTTGAGATTATCCGAAATTTTATTTAAATTAATAATAAAAGAAGAAGTAAATATATCACTTACTATTTTTATTGTTGCAGTTCCTCCTATGCTTTCGATACCAAATCAATTAGAAGCGGCATATATTGGACAAGATGTCACGTTGGAATGTCACACAGAAGCTTATCCTACCTCGATTAATTATTGGACGACCGAACGTGGCGATATGATTGTCTCCGGTAATTTTAACTGTGATACAATTATACTTATACTTGATAATGATTATTCGCTACACAAAAAGAACAAAATTTTCTGTATACAATTCTCAAAGAGAGCGTTCTGTAAGAATTTTGAAATTTTTATTTAAATTTGAATTATTCTAATAAAATCGATTATATTTTTTAAAAATCATTACTAAAAAATTATTTTAAATAAAAAATAAATTTATAAAATATTTACCAAATGTGCAAATTTATTGCTAATTTCATTTTATATTTATGAATTATATGTTATTGATTATCTTCTTAAAAAGTACTTGAAATTTTGTTCTTTACGAAACAGTCCCCTTTTATGTTTTGAAGTTTTAAAAAAAAAGTTATGTCGATACCATAAATGTATTCCCAGGAACTCTCTACAAAATATAGTTGAGGAAATACTTTGCTATATAGCATTCTTAAAAAAACTTCATCTACCTGGTATAATACTTTATTATATTATATTTTTTTTATTTGGTATTCAACTTTATGTCCTTCTCTTAACAAATAAGAAAAAGTAATTAGTATTATTTCATTTAATTTTGTAATAAAATAAAAAATTAAAAATTTAACTTTCTTCGATATTTAAATTCTCAAATAAAATTCGCGATTCAAAATAAAATTATATAATAAAATAATACAAGAAATTGCAGTCTAGTTATTCAAACAACTGCATGCGCGTTCATTTTGTTTGTTTAGCGATAAATTTCGTAGTATACACGTTTTGAATACACGTATCAAACACAAGAATATGAAATATTCACGCAAGCACTGCTTCGTTCGATATGCCTTGGCGTTTGTTCTCCCATGCATAAACTTTTTCAAACTAGAAAGAAGAACGTGGTTTTATTTGCCTAGGCAATTACCATTCTATTGCAGGCGATAAATATGAGGCGGTGTCCACCGACAACGGGTACAACAAGTACATGATGCTGAAGATTAGAAATGTCGGCCCGAGGGACTTTGGCTCGTACAAATGCGTGGCACAAAATTCTCTCGGTGGAACTGACGGGGACATTAAATTAGATGGTGAGTAATTTCACGTATAATTTTCTCGTACATCGCCATTTTTTTTTTTTTTTATAAAATTTGGATATATTAGCCGAATATTTTAAATCTTAGAGAAGAGAGGAAGATAGATAAAGTGTGTATTAAATTATGAAAATGTGACGAGTCTGAAAAGTAAATTAAAAAATTATTATTTCGAGTTAATTTGTTATATCTTTCGATTAGATTTTCAATTAATTTTGATATAATTAGATGCAACGTCACTGCCGAATTTGTATTCGATTGTATTTGAATTCGTTTTCGTATTTATTTGAAAATTAAGTAATTCTTTCTTTCTCTTTTTTCTTATATACGATTTTTGTATTGAAAAAAATGAATAGATTTTCAATAGATTTTTACGGAAAAAACTCTTATCGTTACCACTCGATGGCTATCGATCGTTTGACGAGGTCAAGCGTCCTTATCTTTTCAACGTGGCTCGTAATTGGCGATTAAATTTACGAAGGATATATTTATCCCGAGAGAGTATACTTTTCCACCTCCTTGGACGAATAAATTGGCTGAAATTAAAAGTTTAACGAGATACGTCGTAATGTCGATTTCTGCGATATGAATATATGGGAAGGAATTTCACTCTCAAATCTTTTCACTTTTGCGATATATTTGTATATATCCTATATACGAATCTTGTAGTCTATCAAAAAATTACAAATATGCTTAAAATCTTCAATTTAGAAATGAATAATAAAGTAAAAAAAAAAAATAGAAAAAATATATTATATCTATTTTACAAAAAAATAATGATTTAAAAATTTACTGAATTTATACTCACTAAAATTCATCTTTTCCTTTACAGAGATTCCAACACCATCTACGACGTCCACGACACCGCCACCCGTGACTACATCGATGAAGAAGAACGGTAACTAACCTCAAATTTATCGGGTATTCAGCCTATTTGCGCTATTTTTATTCCACATCAAAATCACCACACTAAAAATACATGAATATACCTAAAAAGAAAAGTATTCATCTTAATCAAAATTCTTTTGAAGAAAGAACAAGCGAAAATATTAAAAAAAAAAAAAATTAAAAATGAAAAATTAGACAAAAGTATATTCTAAGAAAAAAGTAAAAAAAGGAGAAGAGAGCGAAAAATTAGGCAGAATTAGCCGAGCGTTTAATTTTCATTTTTTATAAAACGTCGCACACACACACACAGACACGATCTTTGCACAGATACCGTCCACCCTCCTTGCTATTTTTTCCCTTCATCCCCTGAAGCAAGGACATCTATTCCCGTGTCTCTCCATCTCACGATTCATCATAAAACATACCATGTAAAACCGCCTTTGTGTAATGCATTTTAGGTAGAAACGGTAACAAGAAATTACGACAACGACCTATCGACTACGAGGTCGAGGAATGGCGAAATTCAGGTCAGTAAATATCTATTTTAACGCGGGCCGCATACCTCAGGCATTTCCCACGACGATACACCCTGGTGGCTGCCTGTTGTACCGCTTCGTTCGAGTAATTAGCGTAATTAAAACCTCGTCAACGGTGCACATTCGAGGTGGAGAGATTCTCCGGTGAATCCACTAAATTGCCAATGTTCGGTGATCCCCCTTTATCCGTGAACGAATTACTTCACGTTACTTGGTTCCCTTTAACTGGCCGGAATGGATTTCAGAATTACACTTTCGACGACAGTGATTTTACCGATCGCTCCTCTGCTTTCTGCATCGACTTTTTTGGTTTTTTCACGTTTCTTTTTCCTTTTCATTTTTTCTTTTCTTTTCTTTTTTTTTTTTTTTTTTTTT